AATCAGCATCGGCAAAAATGATGTTAGGACTCTTGCCACCCAATTCGAGCGTCACCTTCTTCACATTGCTCTGAGCAGCTGCAGTCATTACGAGTTTCCCAATTTCCGTAGAACCAGTGAATGCGACTTTGTCAATTCCCATATGCCCGGAGATAGCTGCACCCGCGGTGGGTCCATATCCGGGAATGAGGTTCACAACTCCTGGAGGGAACCCAGCCTAAAGCAGTTTTGAGAAGTAGAAAATCTAGCTGTTCAAGGATGGAAAACAACCTCCTTAATAAGACTGGCCACATGTAAAGCTGACAGGGGAGTTTGTTCTGCGGGTTTCATAACTACAACGTTTCCCATTGAAAGGGCAGGCCCAAGTTTCCACGCTTGCATCAGAAGAGGGAAGTTCCACTAGAAATTGTTCCTATCAAATACAGCTTTGGAAAAATAACTTTAACCAAACTATCAGATCAAGCAATCAACGTGGAAAGATGATCAACCCACTGGGATAATTTGTCCGCAGATTCCAACAGGCTCGTGTCGCGTGTAGGTGAAATAGTTGCCACCAATCGGAATCGTCTTTCCGTGATTCTTATCGGCAAATCCAGCGTAATATCTAGGTGTATACATATTTAACACATCTGATGAGTAAGTAAATCAAAAAAATCAACATAGTGATTTCTACTTCTTTTCAAATAACTGTAGTCTTACCTTATGCAGGCAATTGCTAATGATACATCAGCTGCATATGCAACACCGTACGGTTTTCCATTATCGAGCGCTTCTAGCGACTAAATATAATTTCAATGTCAATTTTTTATCGCATAGCCACAAAATGGTGAGTATTTACTTACTGCGAGAATGACATGATCCCGTTCCATGAGATCAGCAAGCTTATTCATGAGAATACCACGTTGCGATGCATCCATGGTACGCCATGGTGAACCAAGTCGGAATGCTTCAGTTGCCGCCTGAAAAAATCTCAGAAAACTTGCTAGAGGAGTTAATTTTTGCGACCAGAATATATGGCTTCACTCACTCAATACACCCTAAGTTAAACACTACTCAATATTCTGTTAACTTGTTAATCGATACCAACAGACAAACTCATTTTGACATTGTCAAAGTCTTTAAACGATACATGCTGCGCTTACAAGTGGTTTGTCCCATAACTGGTTCAAAATATTGTGGCAGGCATCATCCACTGGTTGGAAAAAAATTCTGATACTGGCCGAAAGAGTGGAAGAAAAACAGATTGAATGACTCTTGGTAGATGGAGAAAAACGGGGATATTGATCAAAAAATACATTTAATTTGTAACTTTTCTTACCCTGGCAAACCAAATTTACTAACCAGTCGTTGGAGAAAAGGGAAGAATGCCATCAGAACTCATATTATGAAACCCATTCCCATTCTAAGTAGGAAATCGTTAGTGAAAGACCAGTCTGACGGTTCTATGTGCAATCTAAAACTTGAATGTGTGTTTTTCACTGTCTACCGCACTGTAATTTTAAGAAATGCTTAAGATCCACATGATTAGACTCACCCATCCCGCCTGTACGTTGTCTAAAATAGGACAATTTCCATTACATATCATCCTGTTTAGGATATCCAAAAAAAATAAAATACTTTATCATTAACGAAGGAAAGCAGACGAAACAATATGAAGGAACCGAGCAATTAATTACTGACTCTTAACCAGATAATTAATTTAACGTCTTCCCTACAAGAAATATACTTCACTATAAAACCCGCTATTCTGTCAATTGTTGCTGCAAGATTTCCCCACGGTTGCATACATACAAATTAAAATAACTAGTCCGGGAGAATTTTTGCAAAAAGCCGATGCACCTATCGTCAGCAAACCCTCGTTTTCCAAGCTTAAATAGGAAATTATGTGGAAAAAGTCTCTGGCCTTAAAAATAAAACTTTGAAAGAAACAATTACTGTAAAGAACAGGTTGGTGCAAAATCATTTCCTTCTGCATGCAAATCTATCATAACCATATTCATCAGTGCAATTAGAAATGTCAAGACTCGTTTAGAAAACTGCATATCAACAATGATTACTCAAATAGGTAATTGCAAAGGGCAC